TTGGTCTGTCAGGAAGGATTCTTCTTGACTAGATTTCTGTTGAACAGAAGATTTGTAATCCACTAATCTCTCACTGATACAAGGGCTTTGCATAAAGTGGGTGTAGTGCTTAAAGGAATTTATTTATAGCCTGCCAGATAGGCTTTGTAATGGTTTTTTTCAAAAACCTTCTTCCACAAAGAAAAGACCATTAGATCATGTCGGGGGTCAGCAGAACACCTGGTAGAGCGCACCAATGTCAGAGCCGCCCCGTCTCTTCAGGCAGCAGGCTTGGCCGCTGAAACCTCTTTGGGCTGATAAAGAAATCCTAGATTGCTTAGATGTGCCAGGAAAGCTAGCTTGTTTCCCTAAAGTGCCTAAATTCCTTCTTTTTTTAAACTGCAGTGTGTTGTAAATTATAGTAATAACAGCATATTCTTAAAATTTCATCACAAACATCGCCTGCATTAAGTGTCATCACATTTCTTGTTTGTTTTTAAAGCTTTGTTTCTTTATGACAAAATTTAAAACTCACTATGAAAAACACGGAAGAAAGGTGAAGGGAAAGGGAAACCCTGATATTGTCAAGTTACTAACATGTGCACGTTTTTGAGAAGCTCCTTTTCGCATAGCCCAGGCCCATCCTTCACAGCCTCGTGGCAGCAGCTGCTCCAGGCATGCACCATTCCAGAAACGTCTTTGTGGCTTCTTAGGATTAAAGAGCAACAGTATCCATGGGGTGTTTTGCACACATTTAATAACACAAAAACCCTGTAAAAATAGTAATTGTCAAACGTGACTACATATCATAATGTGTGAAGCATTTAGAAAAATATATAGATCCTTGGCTTTGCTTCAGACGTACTGAATCAGAATCTCTGGGTTTAGGGTCCATTGATTTTTTTTTTATTTAAAAAAAAGAAGAAGAAGGAAACTTCTAGTCTTCTGATTCCGTTAGCTTGGGAACCCACTGCTTTGGGTTTTTGAGAGAAAGTGAGAGAGGGACTAATAATCCATAGCCCTCCAGTTTGTCTAAATGAGGTTGGAATGATGGGAGGCCTGTTCCTGGGATACACAGGAAGTCTTGTTGATTCAGGCACATCTCTTTGGAACTCATCCTGCCAAGTTCAGACAGGTGGGAAGCCTCCAGCTTCTTTTTCAGAGGCTCCAGAAATGCATACTATCAGCTTAGCTTGCTGTCATCTTTCCTTGGTTTCATAACATTTGCTTACATTTACTTGGAGGGGTCTTGTTTCTTATCATGTATTTTCCAGATGTATCTCCATTTCATTTAAGATGATGGAGTTCTGTGAGATTACCTAAACCTGAGAGAATGCTAATGTAACAGAGGAAGTGATCCTCTTCACATCTCTTTCCATAAATACTCCCATTTTTACAGACAAGAAAATAAAGGTATGGTGAAATAAAATAACTCAAGGTTTACATGGCATATAAATAGCAAAACCTAGGATTCCTAACTAGTCTGCCTACTTCCATTCTTATTCCACTGCAGTAAATTCTCCACTTAGTAGCAAAAGCAGTATTGTTAGGTTGTTTTTAATACATTTCTTATGATAGAGCAGCTGTAGATTTACAGAAAACTTGTGAAGCTAGTACAGAGTGTTTCCTATATAATCTATACTCAATTTTCCCTATTGCTAATATCTTAGAAGCCACTACTGATACATTATTATTAAATAAAGTCCATACTTTATTCAGATTTTGTTATTTTACCTAATGTCCCTTTTCTGCCCCAGGACACCGCATCACATTTAGTTGCCATGTCTCCTTAGGCTCCTCTTGGCTGTGACAGTTTCTCTGTCTTTCTTTGTTTTTGATGACCTTGACATTTTGAGGAGTTTTGAGGAGTACTAGTCAAATGTATTTGTAGCATGTCCCTTAGTTGGGATTAGTCTTATGTTTTTCTCATGATTAGACTGGGGTTACGAGTTTTGAGGAGGAATGGGAATCCTATTGCACCATCTCAAGAGTACAGAGTATCATATATCACTGTCGATGTCGACCTTGATCACCTGGCTGAGGGAGAGTTTCTCAGGTTTCTCCCACACAAAGTCATTCTTTACTCCCTTTCTGCACTGTCCTGGGAAGGAAGTCCCTGTGGGCAGGCCGCACTGAAGGAAATGGGGAGATAAGCTCCACCTCTGAGAGGGCCAAGTATATACATACATTATTTGGAATTGATGCTGTATTTCCCTGTTCAAATTCTACAATGGCTTCACACAACAATCAGAATGAAATGGAATCTCCTCTCCAAGGCTACAAGGCCCTTTGTGATCTGGACTCTCAAGTTTATCACCCTCACGCTCTCACCGTAGCTCGCTCCACTCCATCCGCTCTGACCTGAACACGCCAAGCTGGACAGCTGCAGGGCCCTGGCCTTTGTGCCTCTCCCGGCATGCCTGTCCCCCAGGCCTTCACCTAGTTGGCTTCCTACCCCATGGAGTTTCTGAGAGCCCTCTCACTTATAAGAAATGAGAGCTAGCCACCTCATTTTTAAAAAGTCTTCTTCTCAGCTCACACTGTTTCATTACCCTATATTTCTTCATTGCATTTATCACTACTGATGTTATATATTTACAATTTTGGTTCTTTCCCAATGTAATATAAGCTACATGAGGGTGAGGCTGTATCTTATTTACTAATGAATCCCTTGTTTCCAGAAAAGGGTCTAACACATAGCAGGTGCTCAGAAAATATTTGTTGAATGAATGAATGAATGATTTAATGTTTGAAAGTAGTCATCTTTAGGTCTCTTCTGGCCAAAGTACTCTATGTCTTGATGAACCAGTAATTCTCTGTCTTTTTCCCTTCAATGTTCTGAAGGCATTTTAGGAAGGGCTGCCTAGATTTTTTTAAAGGAGCACTGTGGTGTTTAAAATAACAAATAAGTGAAATCCTAAGTTTCTCTGTTATTTCATGTGCACTTGACTGTGTTTAAAATCTGATTGGGTGAAATAAGCCATCATTCTCCACTTGCCGCTGGAGGTTCTGCCTGTGGTTGTGTGCAGGTGACAGAGCTGGGGACAGGTTGCTCTCTGGGGACAAGCTGCTGCCTCAGGCTTGACTCCTCCTCCTCCCCTACTTCATATTTGACTAACAATGCTTGTTGGTGCCAAAAATCTTGCCTGGCTAGGAATTGCTGTTGATAGTAACTCTTAATTCCTCTTTAACCTCTTTGAAAGATGCCACAGCATTACAGTCAGACACTTCAAACTGAAAAGACTCTTTAGAAATTTCCAGTGAAATATTGTGGGGTCTTTGTTTGCTGTCCTATGAAGAAAATTTCTTAGAGAGCTCACTTCTTCACCCATATTGTTCCCTGATCCTACTCTAATAAGGAGCCATTAGTTTTAACTCCAGTTTTCAGGAATTAGAAATCCATTACTCATAGCAGGGTTAGTCTCAGGCAAGCCGTTTTCCTGAGCCTCGACTTAGGCTCTCACCATACTCTGCAAAGAATATAGAAAATGTGCTCAATTGGCTGCTAGTCCAGTGTTCTCTAGAGAAAGAAAAATCACCTGCTTCTTCTCTTAAGAAAGAAAAATATCTGGTAACTTGGTAAAAAACCTCCCACCCAAATTTGCTATGCCGTTTTGTCTATTTAGGAAATGCCACATGAAAAGAATCATGAACTGCATATTCAAGCTCTAGACAGGAAACAAGGTTTCTTCATCATAGAACATGGTTTGGGCAGACCCAAAAATATACAGAGCAAAGCATAGCCATTGCAGAGCCTTCATTGAGAGCTTCCAGTCTGGCTCTTCAGAAAAAGGGAAATGTTACCTATTCATCTATTTTCCTAGTTTGTGTTGGTTGGTTTCCATTGTTCTTAAAGGAGGTAACAATGGTCAGAAACATGAGTGGATATACAAATCAAAACGACTAATGATTTTTACCAAAGAAGATATACAGATGGTTAATAAGCACAAGGAAATATGTTTAGCATGTTAGTCACTGGGGAAATACAAATTGAATCCACAATGAGATAGCACTTCATACCCATTAGGGTGACTGTGATCAAAAAGATGGACAATAACAAGTGTTGACAAGGATACAGAAAAAAATGGAGCCCTCATACATTACTGTGGGAGTGTAAAATAGTGGGGAGTGACTGCTGATGGGTGTAGGGTTTCTCTGTGGAGTGATGACAATGTTCTGGAATTAGATCATGGTGGTGGCCTCACAACTTTAAAATATACTAAAAAACCACTGAATTACACACTTTCAAAGAGTAGAATTTATGATATGTAAATTATATCCCAACTTTTAAAAATCCACAGTTAAATATTTCATACCCAGTAGGATGATTAAAACCAAAAGACAATGACAAATGCCTAGGATGTGGAGAAATGGAACCCTCATTTGTTGGTGGGACTGTAAAATAGTACAGCCACTTTAGAAAATGGTTTGACAGTTCCTCAGAGCATTGAATATAGAGTTACCATATAGCTCAGGAACTCCACACCTAAGTATTCACCCAAGATAAATGAAAACATAAATCAAAACATATTATAAAATGTGTACATGGAAGTTTATAATAACTTCACATGTAACAACCAAAAGCTGGAAACCATGGAATACTATTTGGCAATAAAAAGGAAGGAAATCCTGATTCATGGAACAACATAAATGTACCTCAAAAACGTGATAGTCAGTGAGAACTAGAAACTAAAAACTATATGTATGAATCCATTTACATGAAGTTTCTAGAAAAGGCAAAACAGTAGACAAAGCTGATCAGTGATTGCCTGTGGTTAGTTGACTATAAACTGGCATGAGGGAATTTTTTGTGGTGGTGAAAAATGTTGTAAAACTGGACTGTGGTGATTGGTTGCACAACTATTTAAATTTACTAAGACTCATTGAGTTGTACACTTAAAATGGGTGGATTTTATGGTATCTAAATTATACTTCAAAAATATGTTTTAAAAAATCAAGTCAGTCTGGAACTCTGGGTATATTTTAATGGGGAAAAAAAACTAACTTTCTCCTCACTGTAGATCCGTCCTCCCACTGACTTGAGCTTTGACTTTGATGCCAACAAACAACAAAGACAGCTTATTGCAGAGCTGGAAAACAAAAACAGGTAAGAATGCAGATGTCAAGACAGTTTCTAGAGTCCAAGATTATCACATGAGTATCTGGTTCTTGCAGACTAGTTGGCTTTTGACCACAAAGGAAGAACCCACCTCAGTGAATAGGTCAGACCAAGTCCAGAAAGTGTCCCGGACACTAACTTGTGCATCTCTGCATGCTGTGCATTCTGGTCATCCACAGCCCTGTTCACATGCCCTTGGGTGGATTCATTTTTCCAGTGCCAGCTCCCACCTC